CTTTATCCAGTGCCATCCATGCTGTGGTAAATGGTAAGAGTTCCGTTTTCTTCTTCCTCTTCTTAAAGAATACCTTTCAGCATTTCATATAATACTGGTTTGGTGGTTATGAACTCCTTTAGCTTTTCCTTATCTGTGAAGCTCCTTTAAATTTCTTGAGACTTGTTTTATGGCCTGGTGTATAGTTTATCGTGGAGAATGGTTACACCTGAAAAGAATGTGTACAGTATTCTCTTGTCTGATGGAGTATTAAAAACTGTCAATTAGGCCCTAGCTGGTTTGGCTCAGTGGGTAGAGCATCTGCTTGCAGACTGAAGGGTCCCGTGTTTGATTCTGGTCAAGGGCATGTACCTCGGTTGCAAACTCCTCCCTGGCCCAGGCCCTGGCCCTGGCCTGTGCAGGAGGCCACCAATTGATGTGGTTCTCTCACATCAGTGTTTCTCTCTGTCTTTTCCTTTCTCTTCCACTCTCTCTAAAACTCAATGGAAAAATATCCTTGGGTGAGGATTAGAAAAAAAAATGTCAGGTCAAGTCGTTGGTTGGTAGTAGTGCTCGTCTGTGATAGCCTTGCTGCTTTGTGCCTATTTGTTCTGTTAATTATAAAAAATGTGATATTGTCATTTCCAGCAATAATTGGTAAAGTGTCTATTTCTCCTTTCAAGTGAGACCATGCTGTAGGGGGGCTTTCCATGCTGTCTAGAGGAAGCAGGCAGGGAAGCCAGGAGGACAGTGTCCTGTACAGTTAGGCAGGAACAAGGCCAGAGCCAGGGTAGAAATGGTAGAAAAGGAGGAGAATATCCCAGCACTGGGCTGAACAGGACCTGCCGCCTGACTGAACACAAGGTCAAGAGCAAAAGAAGCACCGAAAGAGGATTAGAGCCGGAATGATTGTGAAGATTATTGTGCTGTTCATCAACAGGTATTGGGAAATCAGGAAGAAAACGGGACATGGTGAATTGAACTGGACGCACCTTCCCTTCAATACTACAACGCCTGTGCTCTGGTGGCCACACACTAATGTTAAAACTAATTTACAGACACAACTGCATGCGGAGCATTGTGCCAAGTAGTTCATTAGCTCATTAAATCCTCACAACAGTCTTTGAAGTAGGCTCCATATGACACTTTTTAGATGAATGAAACTGAGGCTTAGAGGGGTTAAATAATTTGCTCAAAGCTAACACAGCTAACACATGGGCAGAGCCAGAAATCACACCCAGGTCTTTTTTTTTTTTAAATAAACTTTTCACTTAAAATAGTTTTAGGTTTACAAAAAAAGTTAGAAAGATATTACAGAGTCTCCAAATGTATCTCACCCAGACTCCCCTATTGTTAGCATCTTACATCACTATGATGTATTTGCCACAACTACTATAAAGAACCAACTTCACCAACGTCTTTTTTTCTTTTTCCTCCAGAGCCCATAGTCTTAATCCCTATCCTGTCTATTTGGCTTGGCTTATAGGTGAGCTGGAATTCACTTTAAAAGGGGAGTTCTTTCCTTTTTCCTCTCCTTCCACTTCTCCCCCGTGCTCCTGAGAAGGAAGGGACA